GCTTCCTTATAAAAGTCGTACCAGAGTGAAATTTATGGGGAAGGGGGACTAGATTTTACAAAAAAATTTTGACGGGGCGTGTCCTGAGCGTGGTGGTTCAGAGCCTTTATTTTTATACGTAAAAACATTCACAAAAATATATTCGGCTTCAGCAACGAGTGACTGAGAAGAACCAGAATGTTCTCCGCCTCCAAGCGCAACGCAATGAGCTTAACTCAAAGGTACTTTTGCAAGGCTATACATATACATTTTTTTAATTACACTCTCGTATTTCTGTAAAAGTGGCTGTTCAGGTTCGGATGTTGAAGGAGGAATTACAGCAACTTCAGGAACAAGGTAGTTATGTCGGAGAAGTAAGCAAGGCTATGGACAAGAAGAAAGTGCTTGTAAAGGTATTTCACTAGTTCCCAATTTGTTTCCATTTCAGTACCACTCTCTTCTTTCATGAGACCCAAGCGTCTGCGCCATAACTGGCTTCTATTCTGCGGTACAGTTTCTTACGCAGTAGCTGCTTACAGGTTCACCCAGAAGGGAAATACGTTGTGGATGTGGACAAAGGTATAGAAGTAGCGACGATCAACACCGGCTGTCGTGTTGCTCTCAGAGCTGATAGTTATGCTCTACATAAAATCTTACCAAACAAGGTGGGCTTCAGATTTTCACAAACTCTCGCTCCTGAAACACGCTTGTCTTCCTCCTTCCATATTAAGCGATCATTTTATACCTTCCCAGGTGGACCCGCTTGTTTCCCTTATGATGGTAGAAAAAGTGCCAGACTCTACCTACGAGATGATTGGTGGTCTTGACAAGCAAATAAAGGAGATCAAAGAGGTTAGTATTTTGTAAACTTAAGACTGTGCTGAATGAGTAGCCACGCTGATGTTCGTTTTTGAAGGTGATTGAACTACCTGTAAAGCATCCCGAACTTTTCGAGGCTCTTGGTATTGCTCAACCTAAAGGTGTTCTTCTGTTTGGTCCTCCAGGAACTGGTAAAACATTGCTTGCAAGAGCTGTGGCTCATCATACAGAGTGTACGTTCATCCGTGTGTCCGGATCTGAACTCGTGCAGAAGTTCATTGGAGAAGGAGCAAGGATGGTAAGCTTTCGTGAGAAATCTTTTACTCATTTTATATGGTGCTGGTGGCTTGTGGCGTTGTAGCTTTGTTGGATGGTTTCTCGCAGGTGTCGCTCTGAAATGGCCCTACTTCATTCTTATAATTCTAGGTTCGCGAGCTTTTCGTGATGGCAAGAGAACACGCCCCTTCTATCATTTTCATGGATGAAATTGATTCCATTGGATCTAGTCGAGTTGAAGGATCAAGGTATGGTTTCAGGTCCATTCAGTTCATCATGTGCTAGACTTCAAAAAATAAATTCCATGGTGCATCAGTGCGGTGTAGCGTATAGGTTGGGAAAATATCTGTGATTCTCGAAATTATTTGGTCGTACGACCAGTCGCAGTAGTCTCTCCACTTCACAAAATCCTTTTGTAGCGGTGGAGATTCGGAAGTGCAGCGTACAATGCTGGAGTTGCTGAATCAACTTGATGGATTTGAAGCTACTAAAAATATCAAAGTAACCTTTTTGTTAACCTTTTCCCCATTTAGTCATTATATACATTGTTCAGGTTATTATGGCCACTAACAGAATCGATATTCTTGACCCTGCGTTGCTTCGCCCCGGAAGAATTGATAGAAAGGTAACTCACTCCCATGTTTGACCGGACGTATATAAATAACAATGCAAGCTTTTTCAGATAGAGTCCCTGCCCAGATGAGAAACGTCTGGCAGATATTCTGCAAAATTCAGCATCCCGTAAAATGAATTTGATGCGAGGTATCAACATGAGGAAAATTGCTGAAGCGATTTCCCGGTGCTAGTGGAGCTGAAGTGAAGGTGTGTCAGCATGCTTGAGTTACATATTCATCGTACGTAATAGCCGTTGCGCGGTCTCACGCGGTATTTTGCAAGAATTAATGCATATTTTGGTCAGCTTTAAGCTCAAGAATCGAATTGTTGGACGATTTTATCGATCCACTATTTGGCTCAAAACTGCAGAATCGTTTTCATCCAATTTCCGTTTCCTGTCAAAAACGGCCCACTTGGCCGAAACGAATAATAGATTTCTCTTTGGTCTCGTCCAGTTCTCCAACGGTGCTGCCTGTATACACGGCTGCAGTGTCCGTGACATCATTCTTAGTCGGCCGTTTTTCCAAATTCCTAAAATTAAACTATGTATTACTACGCTTCAGACCCTCTCACATTTTGGTTTGTTGTTCTTTGGCCTTGGCTGTGCACCGAGTGACGCCAGTACTGCAGGGGATCTGGTGTTGACCTAACTGCTGCACCTTTAGCGGGAGGAGCCCCACAATTTCACCGGGTATTACTACTCTTTGGCCTCATTTTCGCACTTCTCTTCCTGATGGAAGTGTCACATAACTGTAAAGGAGCCCGAGGTCTATCTAGCCCAAGCGAAAGATCGTCCTCGGAAGTGAGCGTATCGTTTTTCTGCGAGGTCCTATTTGCCTTTGGAAAAAAAGAAGTTCATTGGCTGTTGACTTCTACCATATTCTTACCGCATCACCTTTGCCATTTATCCCTCCTCCTACGCAGCTCGATAGCAGTTCTTGAGGAAGAGTGGAAAATATTCAGAAAATCTCATTTTCTCACAATCTCTTCCTGACGATGTGTCACACTTCTAAAGTACCCAACTGGTGTTACTAGTCATAGGGAACGCATTTCCTCAGAAGTGAGCGTTACGTTTTTCTTCTCGAAGCATCCAACAGACGTTGTGGGTAGTGCGATATGCCCCATGCGGTGCCCAGGCGGCGTGACCAGTTACTAACACAGTCAGTCAGTGTTTCTCATTTCCAGACAGAGCTGATACAACCACTGTATGCCGGACAGCAGTGAAAGCTGTTGCCGGGGCGCTCCGTTCTGACGTGTGACTCCTGGCGTAAGATAAATAACATCCCATTGCCAGGGCACTTTGTACACTGGAGATCCTCAGCAAGGATCGTATTTGGTTTCTGGGGTGAAGAAGGGGTCCCATTTGCCTCTGAAAAAATGGAAGTTCATTGGCTGTTGACTTCATCAACTTTTCCCAAAGAACTGCTCAATAGCAGTTCTTGGGGAAAAGTTGAAAAAATTCAGAGAAAAAAAACCTGTGTTTGTTTTGCAACTTTTTCTCACGAAATTATTAATGAGTGCGGGCTTCCACGTCCTTTGTTTCTAGACGCTCGTGACTAGCACGAGCATTTTGTGTAGTCACAATTTTAATTCCTTTTTAGGCTGTCTGCACTGAAGCCGGCATGTTTGCACTTCGTGAGCGACGTATTCATGTTACCCAAGAAGATTTCGAAATGGCTGTTGGAAAGGTGTGTTCCCTTGTTTTTCTTTGTAGTTACGGCCTGACTAGCGCTTCCTACTGCAACCCTTTCGTTTTCCAATGACAATGACCTTTCGGAATGTTTCCTAAGAAGTCGTGAATGATCAACCTTAGTCTCTTTGGCTATTAACCTTTCCCACCACATTAATCACGATTGAGATTGTCCAATGTTCACTTTTGAGTGTGACCTTCAGCGGACACATTCATTCCACTTCAAGAGAGATTTCCCTTTTGTCATTCTTTTTTTGGTCATTCATTCGAGCTGGAATCGTTTCCAATTTATTCTGAAACTGCGGATTTGTTTAATTCCTTTCCGAATGTGAAGGCTTTCGTCATTTTATTCGAATTTTATGACCTTTCCCTTTCTTTCTTTTGTCCTAGTCAAAACCTAATGATCCGCTTGTTTTCAGGTCATGCAGAAAGATTCCGAGAAGAACATGTCGATAAAGAAGTTGTGGAAGTAAAACGAGAACGAGAAGGGTTGCGTGAATTCCGTGCGTGTAACAACATATAAATTATAAAACGTGTGGTCTCTTTTTGTGCACATCAATAAAGTATTCAAAACTGGAAATCTCGTCGTCGTTCCATTCTCGGCAACTTTCACGGCAGCTGCTGCTCGGTTCTAAACTGGAATAACTTCCCCTGTTTCACAGTCTATCACGTTGAATGGAAAGTTATTCGTTCAAGGTAATTTCAGGTTCACTTACCCAAGTTGGAGGTAATTATGCTAAGCCGGTTATCACGACATGCGTTTCGGCGGACGTTGGCGACTTCGGAATCTCTAATGAAAGATCTGCGAAAGGTTACGCGTGTTCCGTTGTGCACTCCACTGGAAGGTGAATCTACCGCCAAATCTCAAGCCGAAATGGATTACGTGCCTTTCGATTCGAAAGATGACAACGTTAAAGTCGAAGATACGGGTTGCGTCTGAGCCTCACTATGGAGACTATTGTACTGTTGGTGTGGCAATTGAAAGCGGATGTCGTTTTGAGTCCGGATATCCCCTTGGCGTATCGCATCTGGTGGAGAAGTTAGCATTTGGGTCAACATCACGGCACTCATCCAGAGATGAAATTTACGCTGTGCTACAGCAAAATGGAGGTCTGATTGATTGTCAGAGCACGAGAGACACATTCATTTATGCTGCGAAGTTGCCATGTTACGGGTCTTGAAGCTGTTCTAGAAATCATCGCCAATGCTATTTGGCGAGCTCAGATTACACCCGAAGAATTGGAAGAGGCCAAAATGATTGTACAGTATGAAAATGACGATATGCCCAAGAAAATTGAAAGCACGGAACCATTAGTGACCGACTGGTTGCATATGGCCGCTTTTCGGGACAATACGCTAGGTTTTTCAAAGTTCACGACGGAAGATGGTCTTCAAAAAATTACTAGGCAGCATGTAAACTCGTACATCAGTCAGTACCATGCTCCAGAACGTATCGTGGTCGCCGGAGTCGGCGTAAATCACGATGAACTGGTGGCAGCTGTTCAGCGGCATTTTGGAATTGGAACTGCCATGTGGGACAAGAATCCTGAAGTGCTTCTCCCAAAACTACCTCAGATTGATCGTTCTGTTGCTCAATACACAGGCGGGGAAGTGAGGATACAAAAGGATTTGTCAACGTTGGCTATTGGCACACCTTATCCGAATCTTGCTCATGTGGCTCTAGGATTTGAAGGTGTTAGTTACAAAGATCCAGATTTTGTTGCCTTCTGCGTACTACATATGCTTCTTGGAGGAGGTGGCTCATTCTCTGCTGGTGGTCCTGGAAAAGGAATGTACACGAGGCTATACACCGACGTCATGAACAGGTGCCACTGGATTTATGGAGCTACAGCTTACAATCATTCTTATGGGGATGCTGGATTGTTTTGCATTCATGCCAGCAGTGATCCTGAGCAGATTAATGACGTCCTTGTTATTATCCTTGACCAATTCTTGAAACTGCTCAAAGGCGTTGAAAAGGAGGAACTAGAAAGAGCAAAAGTTCAACTCAAATCTCAATTAATGATGAATCTCGAAGTACGACCGGTGATGTTTGAAGACCTTGCACGTCAAATAATCGGCCATAGCTATCGGCGGAAACCTCAGGAGTATTTGGAGAAAATAGAAAGTATAACGGCTGAAGAAATTGTACGAATTGCGGAACGTATGCTATCTGGACGGCCGTCATTGGTTGGCTATGGAGACATTGGAAAATTGGCGAGTTACGAAGCTCTTGATGAAGCCGTGGCACATCGAAGTCTGCAAGGTCTCGTCTCTCGAAAGAAAGCTTTTAGTTGGTAATATAGCATTTACTTACAAAATGTACTACTATTAAAGTTGTTCTTTTTACGAAATCAGACGTGTAATATGATCACCCACTATATATAATTTGCTTCGTCTGTTTGTTTGTTTGTTTGTCCGGAAATTCGGTTCTACCAGAAGAACAACTTGGAGAGGTGGGGTCAAGGTCGGGATGGGTAGGGCATGTGACAAGATGTAAAGAGCAACCGTAACCCATGGTAAGCCCGCCCACAGTGGGCGGGGCATGCGTTGAAAGTTAGCGGTCTCACTGAAAAAATTCATAATTCGGCTCCAGAGCAGTCCCGAGATGGGGGAAAAGTGGATTAAGGTTAGGCAAAGGGTTGACCCATCAAATGGAGGAGACACACCCGAAATGGGCGGGCGTACTAGAAATGGGCGGTGCTTCCGGTGTCACTGAAAAATTCATAATTCGGCTCCAGAGCAGTCCCGAGATGGGGAAAAAGTGGGACAGGGTTAGCAAAGGGTTGACCCATCAAATGGAGGAGACACACCCGAAATGGGCGGGGCGTACTCGAGATGGGCGGTGCTCGACACAAATGTCGGTAACTCGGTCCCCGAGAGAGTTGAGAGATCGCGAAAAGGGTCCATGGCGAAGACAAGCATCTGGCGAGAATCCGTCATATCTGCGGTGTGCTGTGACCCACAGTGGGAGGGGCGTGACCTCAAACGTAAGTTATTAATTTGAAAAAAAATCGCAGTTTGGTTTTAGAGCATTACAGATGACCCGGAAAAGTGGATTGTGGTCCCCATTGAAATGTGCAAGGTGCACCGTTGTGGGCGGAGCGTGCGCCGAGGCGGGCGGAGACTGACTTAGAAATCGCGGAACGGTCCCAGAGCACTCTAGACGCCGGAAAAAGGCGTATTAATGTCAGCGATGGGTCACCGGTTGAGAAGTGCAAGGTACATCCGTTGTGGGTGGAGCGTGCATGGGGTGGGTGGAGCCAGACTAAAAAATTGTAAAACGCTTCCAGAGCACTCCAGACATTGGAAAAAGTGGATTAATGTCAGCGGTGGGTCACCTGTTGAGAAGTACGAGGCACACCCGTTGTGGGCGGAGCGTGGGAGAGCTGGGCGGAGCCAACAAAAAAGACTGAAACGTTCCCACAGCAGCCCAGACACTGGCAAAAGTGAGCAGAGGTTGCAAGTTCTCGGCCATTAGTGAGATAGACACGCAGTGGGCGTAGCAGATGTTGAGGTGGGAGCGGCAAAAGTCAAAAATTCACGATTCGCTTGCAGAGCACCATATGCATCGTGGACATGTTGACTGGAGGTCACAAAGGGTTAGTAGATGAAATGGAGCAGACATCTTCAAGATGGGCAGGACGTACTCGAGATGTGCAGTGCTTCCTACGAAATTTCATATCTCGACGGCTATGTGTGCCTTCAAGCACGAGCTGCCTACTTTTACTGAGCTTCAGTGCATCGGCAGCCATGCACTTAACCACCGGTCGTCGTAAATGCATTAGATACCAGTCGGCTCGCCGGCTGACGCCGACGCGCGAGATGGCCCGGCCTTGTCGGGCGGGCGTGGCTTCATCTACCCTACCTGCTATCGTACGTTCAAATGCACGACTGATACCCGGCTTTGTCATCTCTGCACTTCATCAATGCTCCTTACCATAATGTCATGCACAGTAATAGTGTTGAAAATAGCAGGTATGATGTTATTGGTCAAGGAGCGTTGGTCATCTGTTCAGATAAAAGAAAAGCCGCATATCAGTTGGGTATATAAACATGTGGAAGAAGGTAAGCGCGGCGAAGCCGCGCCCGCCCGGCGAAGCCGGGCCGTATCACAGAAGGAGGCACGGCTCAGCCGGCGACCCGACTGCTGATGTTATAAAAAGACTATTAAGGAGTAATTATGATATCCAGGATCTTTACTTTGTTCTGTTGTCTAATAATCAAATAGAATTGATTTAGGAAAATAGATGATTGTTGAGTGGTTATAACGACGTCATTGTTGTTGTACAGTAAAGTCCGATTTCAGTAAAAAGTTTCAAGCAAATTGTCCAAGAAATAGTCAATGCGAACGTTTTGGCCCAGGCGAATGTGAAGTTTTCTTGGGCATGAATATTGGCTTCGGCTTGGGGAGGCATTTTGCACTTATGCTAACTCCTGTTGCTAGTGCACGTTGATCAACATGTTATTTACTTTGGTGAGATCTGTAAACTCCTGTGAAGCTGCAACGGTATAGGTGAGCCCACCCTGGTTACTGGGATTTACAGAAGTTCACGAGGTTTCACAAACTATCTTCACCAGGTACCATTTGGTGCATCCCCCAAGCCAAACTGAGCCGGTATATCTAGTGTGAAATTTCGTTTGTTGTGTGACAGGTCTTTTCCTTTTAGTTAATCATTCTGTTGCAGTAAATGGCTTGGTTTTAGTCCGTTATCTGGTTTTTCGTAATCTTTTATTTTTTTCGGGATTTAGTATTATATTAACTCGTGGAGCTCTTTAGGATGGCCTGTGCGGCCTGAAACGTCGGTTACAGGGTTCGTGATTACTGTTAGATTTTGAAAGGAAAGGTGATGATGGCGCTGTTTGGCTCGGAGAGGGCATTTTGATTTTTCGCTAGATCCTCTTAAGTTACACACACGTTCACCTTGTGAGACTTGGAGTCTTGTAAAGTGTAGGCAAGGGAAGCACCTGCTATTGCATAGCTTACAGGTCTCCGCAGGATGCATCGGTAGTGCTCGAGGCCACCAAGCCGAATTGCGAGTTCGTGATATTTAATTGCGAGTTCGTGATATTTACCAGTTAGCATGATAGATCCTCCACCATTTCGCAGCCTTTAGTTGTTGTTAGATTGGGAGAAATCGTTTTTGGGGCCTCAT